AGGCCCCATCTCCGACTAGGCCCCATCTCTGACAGTGCCCCTTCCCCCCACACGTCTCCGACTGCGCCCCCCTCCCCCCACTCGTCTCCGTTGATTGATGAGGTAGTAAGGAAATGGGTTGATTGTTTATTTAATATATTATTAGTTTAAATATTATATACATGTTTTTAAAAATTAAACTACCAAACACAATTTTAGTTTTTTTAAAATTGAAAACAATCTCAGAATAAAACTACCAAACACATTTTCAGAAATGATTCCAAAATGAAAATAAAAACGTTTTTGTTTTCATTTCATACAAAAAACAAAAACGTTTTGGAACCAATTCCAAACGCACCCTATATAACAACTTATTGTAAGAACAAAATATTAAAATTGTTATAACGCAAATTCAACCTTCTACCAAACTTGGAAAACCGAATAGAACGGATGATGTCGAGGCACGTGAATCACGCTTTCTTTAAAACATATTCGTTCCCTCTGGCGAGTGCTTGAGGTTACGTTAGACGTCCGTTTCTCTGGATACAATGACAACGACGATAGCTCGAAGCACTATCGGAACCGTCCGGCGAATGAAAACTACACATTTCCTCTATCACCGAAAACGACTACAAAAAGAACTCGATAAAGGAAAGAAAGGAAAACGAGAGAGAAGGGATGTGTGCTGCAACTTGTTGTATGCTCTCCTTCATGTGTTACATGCCTTATATAGGCTCTTGAGAAAGGGGTTATGAGACAAGAAGTTATGAGACTTAATCACACAATTATGGTCCAATCTTTATGGTGCAAAACCGTGCTCCTTCCTCTGAGATGAATCCAGCCACAAACCATAGCTAGGTTCGGATTTTAAGAAGAAAAATTGAAGCCATAAATATCCGATTACGATCTACTCGTGACGGAGAACGCAATTCCATCGAGACCCGTCCCAAAAACTAATTGAGCCCGTTCCAATATGGGCCTCAAAATGGGCCTTTAACATGGCTTATTAAGCCATTTTTCTAACATTTTGTACTTTTGGTCTGTAATTCTCCTAGCAAAGACTGTAGCCATGAAATCTCTGCAACAAGACTGGCAAGACTTCGGTATTCTGCCTCAGTGGAAGACCTCGAAACAGTATGTTGCTTCTTAGACTGCCAAGAGATCAAATTTGGGCCTAAAAACACACAAAACCCTGAAGTACATCTTCGATCATCCATGTCTGACGCCCAATCAGCATCACAGAAGCCCACTATATCAAGTAAAGGAGAATCACAAGACTTCAGATGAAGTCCAAACTCTAATGTACCAGAAAGATACCTCAGAATTATTTTAACAGTTTTCCAACGAGCTTCAAGAGGGTTCTGCATATATTGACAAACTCGGTGAACACTATATGCAAGTTCAGGTCTTGTAATAGTGACACATTGCCGAGCACCAACTACACTTCTGTACAGTTGAGCATTTTCCACTGGATCACTACCAAAAGCTGTAAGCTTTTGTCCAGTAGTCATAGGTGCTGAAACACTCTTTGCATACTGCATTTTAGTTTTACAAAGCAGATCAGTAGCATATTTCTTCTGAGATAGAAGCAGCCCTTTGTCAGTCTTTTTCACTTGAATGCCAAGGAAATGATCTACCTCACCTAGATCATTCAGGGCAAAGGCTGTATTAACTTTGGCAATGAGATCAGAGATGACTGAAGCACAACTACTAGTAACAAGCATGTCATCTACATAGACCAAAACAAAAACGGTCCACTTCGAAGTCACTTGAATAAACAGTGATTGGTCTGACTTGGCTGAATGAAAACCAAAACTGATTAGAGCTTGATACAATTTGGCAAACCAGGATCTAGGTGCTTGTTTCAGTCCATACAGAGACTTGTGTAAGCTGCACACTAGCTCAAGTTGCTTTGGATCAATGAAGCCCTCAGGCTGCTCCATGTAAACCTCTTCTTGCAAATAACCATTTAGAAAAGCATTGTTAACATCCAATTGCCTAATTGGCCACTGCTTACTGAGAGCTAAGGTCAGAACCACTCTGATAGTTGTTGGTTTAACAACTGGGCTGAATGGTTCATTGAAATCGAAGCCTGCCACTTGATGAAAGCCTTTTGCAACCAAACGAGCTTTGTATTTATTTATGCTGCCATCTGGGTTCTCTTTCACTCTAAAGACCCATTTACATCTAATTACCTTCCTGCCTTCTGGAAGAGATACCAAACTCCAAGTATTATTTCTCTGAAGAGCCAAGAACTCATCAGTCATGGCTTGTTTCCAATGATCAAGCTGCATAGCTTCTGAAACGGATGCAGGCTCAGCAGATGCAATATAGACTTTGGGTTTAAAAACACCATCTTTGGATCGGGTTTGCATTTGATGAGGCGGATAAACTTTCCTGGTTCTGGTCCTTGGAGCAACTGATGGAACCTTATTTTGTACACGAGAAATGATCTGGAACTAAAGAAGAAGTCACAATGTCAATTGCATTTTCTGTCACAGAATGAGGAACAGAAGGAACAGGAGTAATTGAAGAGGAAGGTAGAGAAGGAGATGGAACTGGTGTGGCAATTGGAAGAACAGGTAACATTTGAGATGAAGAATCAGGAGTGGAAGGAGAATTACTAGTAGAAGAAACCTTTGCACATGGAAAGGTATACTCATTAAAAAGGACATCCATTGAAATAAAAATTCTTCATGTGCTGTCAAGGCATTTGTACCCTTTATGATTTAGACTATATCCAAGAGAAGTACAGGGTGTTGATAAAAACTGAAGCTTATGACTGTTATAAGGTCGAGTGTTTGGAAAGCAAGCACAACCGAAGACCCTAGGTTGAGAATACACATGCTGTTTTTGGAATAGAACTTCAAGAGGAGTTTTGTGAGCTAAGAGTGGTGTTGGAAGCCTATTAATCAGATAGACGGAAGCTCTAAAAGCTTCATCCCAGTATTTGAAGGGCATGGAGGCCTTAGCTAAAAGTGTTATACTTGTTTCAACTATATGCAGATGTTTTCTCTCTGCTAAACCGTTTTGTTCACGAGTATGAGGACAAGAATTTTTATATTCAATGCCATGAAGTTGTAGAAAATCTGTAAAGGTCTGTATTCACTCCCCCAGCCAGTTTGAATGGCTTTAATTTTGTGTCCTAATTGATTTTCATCTAAGGTTTTGACATGAATGAAGGTTTGCAAAGCTTCAGATTTCTGCCTAAGAAGATATAGCCAAGTGAAACGAGAAAACTGATCAACAAAATGAATGTAATACCTATAACCACTAGAAGAAATTGAAGGTGAGGGACCCCATAAATCTGAGTGAATTAATTGCAAAGGTTTAGTGGAAACAGGAAATGGCAACTTATGAATTTTGCCCAAACAACAAGATTTGCAAAAATGAGTAGCATTTTTATTAACATCAGAGATATTACACTTGGATAGAACAAATTTGACAACCCTCTCTGAAGGGTGTCCAAGTCTATTATGCCACAATTCAAACTTTGAAAGACTGGTAAGTATAGAAGTAGAAGCAGGACTAGTAAGAATAGAAGTACAAGCAGTTACAAGTTGAGATGGATCAACACTAGACAAACAATTTGGTTTTATTTTGTTTTAATTTTAGACCTTCTGTTAGTTAGGTGTTAAATATTTGATGAAATCTATAGAGGTTAAGCATTAAAATTGAAAACATTTAAAGTTTAGAGATTAAAATATTATAAAAACAAAAGTTAATTTTCTACATATAGTCTTGCAGAAAAATTATCGCTACAGAACTGAATTTTTTTTAGCGGTAACAATTTCGACTTCTAGTGACTACAAATGGGGTCATTAAAAGATGTTATTTTGTTGTAGCGTGCATATATTCTTCCCTGAACATGTCAAGCTTGGCCATGTATTAGAGAATCCTGATCAAACGATCGAGAAATATGTACATACAAATGGCAATATCATAATGTAACGCCAAAGAGCATTTATTTCCGATTCCCGAACATGTTCTCACATTGAAGCATTACAAACATGGTACTTTATTGCTATGTGCAGATATTAGAACACTTGAAACTGAACACCTCCAATGTGTTATTGAGGATTTGGAGGACGGCTATTAGCGGCAGAAACTCGGGAACCCCATTCCAGCAGCTCTTTACTGGTGTCATCCTTATGTACAAAAACTTCAACAAAACATAAAGAGTCCTTGTGTTCTCCTGTTGCTGTCACAATGGCTTCGATAAGTTCACCCTCGGTTCGAACCTGAATTAGGATGATGCATTTCATCAGTTTCAAAAAGCACAACTTTTCATCAAACAATTTTATAATCCGTCATTGATATCTCCCTTTTAGTATACCAGGGAATCTAACCATCAATCAACAAGTTAATTTTTTAAAACCATAATTATTGGTGTTCAGAATTTCATTGAAAGGGAAAGGATAAAAGAAAAGGTGGTTGCATTCAAACTTACGAGTACCAGAAAAAGTTGTGATTTCATTCATTCTAACCTTGGCAGTCCAGCACTTGCCTTCGCCGTTGTGGATGGCGTCGACAAGTCCAGAGTAGTCCCAGTTTTTTATGACATTGTATGGTCCATCATGAATCTCTGCTTCAATCGAATAGCCTCCATTGTTGATGAGAAATATAATGCTTTTTTGTCCGCATCTTATCATTGTTGAAATATCTTGAGCAGTCACCTGATGAAACATTACTTAGTTTACTATAAAACATTTTCTTGCATGACCACTGAATAATCCTCTCTTTTTCTTGGGTTATGTGCATCTTGGAAGGACAAAAAAACTAATAGCTTCAAAGCAATATTAGGGGCGACAAACTCAAATCAACTAAGCCAATTATGGTTAGAAAGGTTAATGCGATTATGATAGACGTAAAAATGTGTTTATACTTTTAAAAAATTACGTGTTTCTAGTAATATTATAGTACTAACCTGGAAACTACCATCACCAATGCAAGCTATTACGCGTTTATCTTTAGCAGCCTGAGCATATCCAAGGGTGGCACCAACAGACCATCCAATTGATCCATATTGCATTTGGAATTCATACCTGAATGGAAATACGACGATCGGTCTCGGCATCATAGTTTTTAAGAGAATGTTATATAAACAAGTCTTACGAGAGTGTCTTACCCACAATTCTCAGGAAGGCCGAGTTTTTGACAATTGAACCATGAGTCCCCAGTGTCGGCAATCACCGCTGTATCTCCACTCAGCATCTCCTGTAGAGGAGTTCCAATCAATGTGAGAAAACCAAAAATTACGAACTAGAACAAAAAAAACATAAGTTCAATAAGAGATGCTAACATTCCGGACTCTGCAAATGTTCTATTTTTTACCAATGCAGCTATTCTGTCCTCTTATCTTACTTATGACTTAAAAGACAAGAAAAAACAGTTTCAAATCCTAATTGTCCTGACTCACCTGAATGTGCTTAAAGAGAATATTAACCCTTAGAAGTTCATGATTTTCACGCTTTAAAGGAATGCCAGGGGGAACATATATTCGACGGTAATTCTCCAAGGCTGCGCTGTTTCTCTCCAGCTTCTTAGCCAATGCGCTTAGAAAGTCGGCCATGAAAACCCAGCCAAATGATGGACCATTCCCTATAGTCACGCGATTAGGCTCCACCATGATAGCTTTCTCCTTCTTGATCAGCAAGGAGTAACCAACAGAGCTGAAATCGTTGAAGATTGGGCCAGCGAATAGATAGGCATCGGCGGACTCCACGATCTCTGCGCAGAAGCTGGTGCTGACAGCACCCCAGTAAGTTCCAATGAAGGAGGGATGGTGCTCCGGCACCAGCCCTTTACCCGAGGGCAAAACTGCAACAGGATAACCGCTAGCGTTTGCAAGCTCTACGAAGGCTTGCTGTGCCTTGGCTACTCTAATCTTTGGACCACCCACAAGAACAGACTTCACAGCTCTGTTCAGGAAACCAGCAGCCGCTTCAACGGCGGCTTCCAATCCTAATTGGTTGCTGATCCTGCAGAAAAGTAAACAGCTTGCCTATGTAAAAACCAAGGTTAAGAATAATAAACATGAAAAGAAAGTGTAACAAGTGAATGCTTATAGAAAATTTCACCAGTGATATAGGTTTATTTATTCTTATGTGATAGGTTGCTATGACCAACCAACGAAGTGGGAACAACAACAAGAAGAGCGCGTTTACACACCTACATGGAATGTAATAGGAAAGTTGATAGGTTCGGAAAGGGTAGTAAAAAAATAGGAACGGACATCGTCCATTCTTTTTACAGTGTTAACTTAATTAGTTTTCGAAAAAAAAAAAAGTTTTATTAATCAAATCATTGTATAAGTAAATTTAACATTTATTCTCATTAATCCCGAATCAATATATGATATTTATTTTCTCATTTCCTATAATGTAGAGCTCATGAACTAGATTTTATATGCAAACACATTATTAAATGAGAAAGTAAAACAGTAAATTGAGCATGCAAATATCAGAGTAATGAAATAGCTTTTTAAAGTATGAAACCATAAATCTGAACGCGAAATTGAACAGAAAGAAACCCATTCCTTCTTTTTTCATTCTAGTCCTCTGTTCTTCACATGTCACGCTTATACAAAAGGGGCAACTCTATTGACGTACGAACCACTCAAAAGTTATTAACTTATAAAACAACCCAAAAATGTACCATCAGGACAGATAAAAAAAGCAAATATTTCATTGACGTAACCATAGAAACAGAGAGTAAAAGATGCAGAAACATACTTGGGAGCAAGAAAGAAGGGAACAGGGTCCCTAGCGAAAGTGCGGTGAGGAATTCCAGGCAAATTACAGCTTACACTTATATAAACAGGCTTGCTTTCTTTCAACGCCGTCGATATCGCCGTGTCTATTTGCTCATGCGCGTCATCCAAATTATTCACCACTGCCTATACCATGAAACGAAAAAACACGTACAATACAAACATCTCTCACTCTGTTCTACAACAAGAACATGAAAAGAAATAAATACTTATTTTCAAAAACCATTTTTTGTTCTAGCTTAGTACCTGACTGCAAGTGACGGTTTGGAAGCAGTGAAGCTCCTGGGAGAAATCGGGTAACCCGATAGTATGATGGAGGATTCGGTTGGTGCCGAAGTCGTTGGAGTTAGGCCCGCCGACGATACAGATCACCGGCAAGTTCTCACTGTATGCGCCGGCGATGGCGTTGATGACGCTCAGCCCGCCAACCGTGAAGGTGACGACGCACGCGCCCACGCCTCTGGAGCGCGCGTAGCCGTCGGCGGCATAGCCGGCGTTGAGCTCGTTGCAGCAGCCGATCAGGTTGAGTTCCGGCTCGGCGATCAGGTGGTCGAGGAGCGTGAGGTTGAAATCGCCGGGAACGGAGAAGACGTCCCTCGCGCCGATCTCAATGAGCCGCCGAGCCAGGTGGCGCCCCAGAGTGCCGCTCCACGATGCCGGACGCACCGCCGGGGGAGCCGAGCTGGGCCGAGCCGTCGAGCCAATGTGGGTGGCCGCGTCCATTTAAGACGGTGCGGGTTTTGATGACAAGAGATGGAGAATTTGACGCTTCTGGTTGTGTTTGTGTGGGTTTTGCTGATTGCTATTAATAAAGAGGCTCTCTCTCGGCGAGAGAGTGGGTTTTGGAAAACTGTGGGTTTGAAAAAAAGACATTGATTCCACAGAAGAAAACGAGACGTCTTTTGTGAGAAGCTGTGGACTTTTTATACCGTGGAAGAACCGTTATGTATTTTTTTTTCGTTCTTTTTTTCAAGGTGCGGATTGTGAGTTTTTGGTGCAGTTAAAGCCTGTGAAAATTGATTGGTTTGTTCGACATAAATAATTAAGGGATTATGGACCACCCATTTGGAAAACGAGAGCTGATTAAGCTGTTTTCCGTTTCCGGCGTCTCTGTTAAATTGTTTTGCATATTAGTTTAGTTTAGATTTTGATTATTGTATAAGAAAAGTAGTCGTCTTCTTTGGCGCAAATGAACATGCTCCGGAATAAAAAACTGTATTCATTTGGAACCAACTTTGTCTTTTTAGCAATTTTCAAATGCGGAGAATTTTGGGAAAGGTTCTTCTGCATATTTTTGCATTATCGTCCTTGACAAGTAACGTCCCCAGCCTTTATCCAAAAGTGGCAGAAACATCGAGGTGGAGTTCCGCCTCAGTATTCAGGTTTATACCCCGTTTATTTTATTAATTTAAATCTAAAATTTAAAATTTATTATATTAAAAAAATTTTAAAAATAATTATATTTAATTTTTTACTACAATAAATTTTTTTTACATAAAATCACGTCTTATTTTGAATTAAAAATTTAAATTAATAAATTAAATGAATCTATGTATATTTTGTAAATATATATACTTATAATATTGAATCTTTAAACATGTTATATATATATATATTTGGTTTATTATTGAGATTTGATATGCATATATTTAGAATTTGATTTTTCTTATGAAACGTTTAATTTTGGTTAAAATTTATAGTAAGTTCTCGTTTATTTTTGCTTTAAATTGTTATAATTTTAAAATATGTAGTTATATTAAATGTAGAATAGGACAATACGGGGAATGCCCTTCAATAACACAGAATATTCGATTCCAACCCCGCTTTTTCATAAACGGGAATGAGGATGATTTTAGGGAATTAGAACGGAGACGGGTAATCATTCACCGATTGCCCTGCCCTATTGCCATGCTTGACTTTTTTCCAAATATAATTTGTCATCTGATTTAATGTCCTGACATTAGAAATTTGGAGGTATATCATTAAATACTTCTACATCACTTGTAAATTGCATAAGATATTTTTCAAAAGTACTTGTATGTGGACGGAAAGGAAATCAATAATATCTACAAATTAAAGGGTATGGTATTAGAAGAAGAAGAAGAAAAAAAAAAAAAAAAAAAAAAAAAAAAAAAAAAAAAAAAAAACTTATGGAAAACTCAGATAATAAGCAGGGACGGAGGGAAAGAAGGCTGTGTGGATTTGTTCAGTACTTGCTTAATTAAGAAAACCTTATTTTTATTAGATTTTTATAAGCTGTCTAATTTGCTGTTTTTCTTTTTTGGTTTTTTTCTTTGTTTATCATCGCCAAGAGTATTGCTTTGAATACTTGCCGTTAGGAGCAATTTGTATCGTGTGTTGTGTTCATGTTGTGTTTTGATCGTTTCTTTTTAAATTTGTAGTCAACCCGAACACGATATGTGACACGAAATTTTTTAAAAACCGTAACACGAACACGACACGACACGAAAATTACCCGTGACTCGAAATTGACCCGTGAACCCAAAATTGACATGTGAATCCGAAATTGACACGAAAATTGTATACTTTTATTTAATTTTTTAAGTATTAAAAATAACTTAAAATTCATAACACACTAAAATACAATAACATCTATTGAAATTAAGCAAATAATAGTATAAGATTTTGAGTATAACTATCATGATATCACAAGTTCATAATAAAATAAAAAATATGTAATGAAAAATATATGTATTTTTTTTTGTTTTTTACGTGTTTTGTGACGTATTTGGATTAGGCGGGTCCAACCTGAAATTGACTAGTATTTTTCGTGTCAATTTCATGTCGACTCAATTCTGACCCGAACATCTTTTTTCTCAACCATAACTAGCGAAATTCGTATCATTTTTGAGTCGTGTTGTGACCCATATTACCGGCCCTACTTGTCGTTCATTTTTTTAGCGGGCCTCTTTTCCTTTCAATGATCAATCTATAAAATAATTTATGTTGGAAACGGTAAGCTGAATGAAACCGGAAAAGGCGGGGGGGCCGCTGGGGGGACTAACTCTTAAGCCCCCTCAACTTTTTATTCTTTGCATTTTTGTATGTACTAAATTTAGAAATAGCGCCCTTAACAAAAATTTAAATTTTATTTTATTTTAAACCAAACTCCAACTAATATTTATAAGTACTTTACATGATCTTCTCCCCTAATAATAACTTAGGGCCCGTTTAGTTCGTTGATTCGAGTTTTTAATTCGAGTTGAGATATGACTTTATGTAAAAGCTTTTTACTGTAGTAAAAAAATTAGATGTGATTGTTTCTGAGAGTTTTTTACTGTAGCAAAACTCAAATTTTAAACTCGAATCGATAAAATGAACGAGATTAGATTCTTTATTGACGTAACTTTATTTATTTATTTTCTCTTATTTTCTTATTTCTTGAATTATTTTCACTAGTCTAAAAATATCTCTTTAAAGCAGAGTATGCATGCAATAATTCCTCAGAAAGAATGTTACAATTATACATTCATCATAAGATTTTTAGATAACAATAATATATCATCCTAATATAATATCAATTAGTACCGTAGTATAATATCGTTTTAGTATGACTATTATGAAGAATCAACATAAATAAATCACATTAACATCTTTAATAGTCTCAATAATAAAGTTATTATGCAACATTTTAAAATATGATCAAAACACAAGGTGGACAATATAAAAATTTATAATTACTAATTTTTTCTTAAATGTCTGTTGTAGTTATTAACACCTCCCTTCGTCAAAGACAATATAAGTTCCATTTCTGCTCCTTTGTGACAAGAAGTATTACAGTATCTGTAAGCGTGTATCGTTGTGATTTGCTTGTCGTTTACTTCGTCAAAGAAACTTGTATGGCCAGGTGGCCTAGATCAATTCAAACAATTATTATCCATTCTAACTAATCCACTACAACACCAAATTTACAGTATCGTTGTGATTTGCTTGTCGTTTACTGCGGTGACCGGGGAGTTCTCTGCCCTCTGGCTTGATTTACCGGAGGCCCCTATCAGAAATGGCTTTGGAATTTCCTCTGTTTCTGTTTTTTCTTTTTAATTTTAGTTTTTGAAAGGGAATAAATTTCCTCTCCTCGAACAAATTGTTACAACTTAATACATAACATCGTCAAAAGGCAATTACCACAAACAAGACAAAATAATTCATGAGCGGATACAACACTAACAGAAAGAAAGAGTAGCAGAATCAAGAATTCAGTTCATCAATTAGAAATTGATACAAATCAAGATATGCGCTATGGAAACCAAAATGAATCCCCAGGTCACAAATGATAAATCAATCAACCTATACATATCATGTGTATATATACGCTCCTGAATAGAACATATATATGTGTGTGAATACATATATATATATATATATATATATATATAAGCCTAACAAGGAATTTTAGATGTAAACCACTTCATAACCGAGAAAGGAGCCTTGATCAACACCAGTGCAAACTCAACTATGATAGTCACACACAAGCAGCACGGGCATATGCAAGTTAGCGCCAACCTGCATATATATATATATATATATAATATCACAAAGAAAATCAAATCAAAACTTAGATATAGAGGATTAATTTGCAAAGCAAACCAAAAGATTTATAACTTATGTGGGTAAAATAAGCAATAAATTTCTCGAATTACCCGACGATCCAAATGACGATGCCGATAAGGGAGAGGAGGAGGGAGACAAAGGCGAAGGGCAGGCCGAGGAGAAACCCCAAAGGCCTGCATTCGGAATCCTCACCGCCACAGCACCCCATAGGTTTCTTGGTGTTTTTTTCTTGGTTTCTTTGTCGTTGTTAATTAGGTGGGCTGAATTGGAGAAAGGAGAGATGTAAATATAATCAATGACGCTAATAATATATGTTGACGGAAGGAACAAATAATTGAGCTAGCTTGAGTAAAAAGACCAGAGAAAGAAATTTTAGAAAACGTGTTATTCGGCTGCCGCTTATCATATCCACGTAATCGATCCTTGATGGAAACGGGTCAACTATAATAAATAACAAAACCACAACACGACATCTTAATTTCCCCGTCGACTTTCAGGACCAGCTACAGCTAGTAGTTTATCATATATAGTTTTATATTTTTTTCCTTTTCTTTTTTTTTCATATTTATAATATTTTCTCGTTTCTCGGCATACGTCGAGTTGTAAAAGAAAAGAGAAAAAATCAGTGTTTAATTCTAATAAATGTTGGAAACACATTAGGACCGGTAATATGAGTCACGACACAACAACACAACTCGAAAACGGCACGAATTTTACGGGTTATAGTTGAGGAAAAAGATATTCGGATCAGAATTAGGTCGACCTGAAATTGACACGGAAAACATGGGTCAATTTCGGGTTGGACCCGCCTAACCCGAACACAACACGAAACTCGTACAAAACTAAAAAATACATATATTTTTCATTACATATTTTTTATTTTAATTATGAACTTGTGATATCATGATAGTTATACTCAAAATCTTATTCTATTATTTACTTAATTTTAATGGATGTTATTGTATTTTAGTGTGTTATGAATTTTAAGTTATTTTTAATATGTAAAAAACTAAATAAAAGTATAAAATTTTCATGTCAATTTCGGGTTCACGGGTCAATTTGTGTCATGGATCATTTTCGTGTCGTGTCGTGTTAACCCGTAAAGTGGTCGTGTCGTATTTGTGTTGTGATTTTTAAAAAATTTCGTGTCACAGATCGTGTTTGAATTGACTACAAATTAAAAAAAAAAGGATCAAAATACGACACGTGACATGAATTGTCACCTCTAAACACACACTATCTATTCGTAAAGTGTTTGCTAATTGGTAATTATTAGTACTGTTTTTTTTTTTCTTTTTCAAAGTATTTATGTGTTGCTGGGATCAACTAAGTTTGAATTTTGTAATGCCATAGATTGTTTATCAAATTACATGAAAAAACAATTGGCTAGTTAATTATATCAATACTAATCAGCCTGCAGTATATATGAACTGCGAAGCTAACACTGTAGTTTAACAGGATGACTGCATTACTGTTCTTAGGAAGAAAGAGGAAAATAGGTCAAAACTTTAGATGAATTAAAATTAATAGATTAATAGTTTACATAAGTTAATAAATAGGCTAAATTACTGTTTTTATCCATAACTTATCTGGTTATGAACCATAACTTGATAAGTTATTGTCCATAAATCACGATTTTTATCCATAATTTGTTTGGTTATGAACTATAACTTGATAAGTTTATTCATAACTTGTCTGGTTATGAACCATAACAAGTTATGACCTATTAATTTATATGACTAAAAGTTACCCTATATACTTCTTTAAGCGTTTTATATTGACATTTTTTCTACTATTTTCCAAAAAAAAAAAAATGAAGTAACTGTTTTTAAGTATGGGCCAGGTGGGCATGATGATTTGAGCCCAAAGAATCTAATCCATATGCGTCATATAGGTCAACATTTCAAAGTTGCTTTTTAAAATAATGGAGCAACCAATTTGGAAAACACTCGAAAATATACCAAAAGCATCGATCTGGATGAAATGATCAGCATAACAAAGAAAGTATGCCATTTAAAATTTTAAGGGATTATTCTCACCAATCCCCTTTGAATTCTAGGTTAATTTCAACTTCGTCCCTTGGATTATTTATCTTTTTAGACCTTATATTTTAGATTTGTTTAAAGGACATATACCCTTAATTTTTAAGAGTTGTAAATATATATCTTGAGATTATATTTAATAGGTAAATTTGTATCCTTTCATAGTCAAATACTTGATTTTGACCTTTGAAATTACTAAATTCGCCTTAGTGCAGTGATCTAATGGTATATGTTGTAGCAATCAAAAATAAAAGATTGCTACCGTTAAGGTTAATTTGATAATTTAAAATTTCAAAGGTTAAAATTGAGTGTTGATGGTGAAAAAGTACAAATTTGACTATTACATATAATACGAGGATGTATACTTGCAGGAATCCAAAACCAATTATGGTATACTTATTGAATAAACCTAAAACACAACTACATAAAGTATAAAAAGATAAATATTCAACTTTAAATTAGTCTTATTTACTCTCTCTTTTAAAATTTATGTTAAAAACAAAATAGAAAAAAGAGGGTAGTAGAGTCACATAGTCATTTTGTTAAAATTTCTACTAAAAACAAACAAAAAAAGATCATATAACCACATGATTTAACCCACTCTCTTTGTTCGTTGCTTTCCAACATAAACTCTAATAAAAGGCGATAAGTGGATCTAATTCAAAATTCATGTGGCGAGGTGGGAGTTTTCAAAGTTTTGGAGGAGAACTAAGAATTACCTTAAGTTCAGCCGTACATGAGATTGACCCCAATTTTAATTGCTATCTATTAAACGTCATTATGCAAGCGTCTCTATTAGGGGGGGTTAAATTAGAGGAATACCATTTTAAAAAAATTGGAATTAAATATGCATTTTTGTGCTAAGTTTTACATCAAAATAGCACGAGTGAAAAAATAGAGTTAAGAAATATGGAATACAACCTGTGCTTGCAGGTATAAAGATAATCTAACAGTAGTTTCAAATCGACTGCATCTTAAAATATAGAGTTTAAATTTCTTCTTCCCAATCGGGGAAAAAAACAAAGGATTAGTATATCATATTCAATCTAATTTTACCCCTCTTTCTCTTACCAACGTGCATTAATATTTATGTGACTTTCACAGCAGATCGACCTTGGAAGACGAATTGGAAAGGTGTGTAGGATTTATAGGTGGAATGTCACTACATAGTAGATATGGAAAGAGGGAATAATAAAGTAGAAACGATATGGGATTAGCTTAGGATTTCAGAAATTTAATACGACTAAAGGAGATGTACTCAAAAGAAAAAAGATGGTGAAAGAAAGATCATTTGGTCAAACAGTCGAACAAATCATTACTTTTACTTTTACACATTAGGTTTATGCCTAAAAGTGCTAGGGGGATTAAAATTGAGCAACCAATTATAGCCTACAGGTATATTATTCTGAATGCATTCGTTGAAACCATATATTCTTATATAGTACTAGTAATATTTTAAACTTTTTGAATGATTCGTAGCTTCAATGCCAATTATATTGGAGAACTTCGCGGCAATCCCACTTGCAAGTTGCAGCCCTCGTTTAGTTTGGACAAAAAAATGGGAAACTTTGCATTTGTTGTGACTTGTGAGGATTAATGGAAAACAACTTCCAAATAGTAATTTTTTTTTTTTTTTTTTTGGTTGCTTTCTCTACTTTCTTCTAATTAATAATTAAGTGGTCACACATGCATTTGAAATACCGATCTCAGAGAAAGGCCAAAGGGGTACGTAAATCTATAAACTAACGAATGGAGAGCTGGCTAGGGAAGGACTTGCTTTTGCAAGTTGAACTTTTAAGGGATATTTGCTTCTATCTAATCAAATTATATATCTTTCATCATTTCATACTAGCCAAGTGGAGATTAATTACTTATTGCGCTTTTACATTGACAACGAAATCCACAAAATCCTTGCTTCAATATTATATTTTGTGAAACATAAAGTTGTACAATCACTATTATAATTAATTTATTATTGTTATTATTTTGATTGATTAAGAGACGAAATCTTCTCTTTCATCCCCACTCGTGGGCTATGCACATTCGTGATAAAAAGCATGCATTGGTCGGTATATTTTGTGGAAAGTTTTCCTAAAACCTGCACGTAATGTCAAAAATTAAATTGGGGGAATTTTTTTTATTTTATTTTTATTTGTATGTATTTCCCTTATGTAATATACGTACGTCTGTTTTGCGACGCCCGTGGACTGTGGTATTGCCTTTGCATATATATGACGTAGAGCTTCTTGAAGTTATACATGACGTTCTTTTTATGTGCTAATAATAATCATGATGGTTATGTTAGGCTTTCCTTCGAATGTGATTCTACTTTTGTGGCTGATCTTCTTCAAATTCAAACTAAGAGTTTAATAGTTACATAGATCAGATACAGTGCTTGTTGGTTTGTAAGTTGGGGAGGGTCAATTTTTAATATTTATAAACAGGGCGCAATCACATTGCAGACGAACTTGCATCAAAAGGTCACAATGCCACCAATAACTAATCGCTCACAGTTGCAGCTAAGAGCAAAAAAAAAAAAAAAAAAAAAAAAAAAAAAAAAAAACTAATCGCTCACAGAGCAACTAAAGGCCCAGTCCACTCATTTTTTTTTTATTTTGGAATATATATTGTATTAATACGTATAGCCCCATTTAAAAAATTTTAAATTAATCTTATAATCTTATTAAATTTTTATTTCATTTATTAGCCCGCTAACCTAAATTTTTAGCTCAATTATTGTAACTATTGAAATGAGATTCTTTGTATTAGGAAAATGCTCCACTAAAGGTACTAATTAATATAGACGTACTTACCTGGAATATGTCAAATCTACTTAATAAACAGAAAATAATAATTGATTGTGGATTTTTATATGATGTGATTAAATATAATAGTATATATCAAAGTAACACATAAACAGCCTGCCCTAGTAAAAACATAGAGGGAGAGAGAAGAAAAAAAATAAAAAGAGAGGAGTTTTCATGGTGTTTAATTCAGAGTGGGGTCGTGTCATCAGTAGAAAAAGACGGTTGCCGCTGCCGAATCAAATTTCAAGTAAGGAATGAGATCGCAGTTAGACTTGAAGTTGAACGCATTAGTCTTCGTCTTGACTTATCTTGTGAAAAATGTGATCTATGAGAGAAGTTGAGTCGTTTTATAATGCACACGTTATCTTTTATCGTTATTGCTTACATGTATTGATCACTCCTTTTTTACTGTTTTGTTTCGCAAGTATTTGAGGGGCTTCACTTTCTTTGGAGTTTTAATGCTCTAGCTTGTAGATCTTTTCACTTTTCATTTTTA